TATTTTAGTATACAGAGTATATTGGAAGGAACTCTTGGTAATCTGTATCTTATGTATTGAACCATCCCCCAAAATAATTTGCCCATGCTCATGATGCCCATGAATGTTCTTGTGGTGAATGATAAAAAGTCAGTGATATTTGCAATTAATTTCCAATCTTTGTGTGATCAATACCATATAATCCCCTTTATGTACACACTTCGAAATCAAAAATTGTCTTTTTAAAGTTTAATTAACTGCAGACAACTCAAACTGTATGGAAATTCAAAAAGATAATTAGATTTAATTTTCTAATTCTAGTCCTTCATTTATTTTCCATTTTCTAACAGCAATGAACAATCTTAGTGGCAATGATGTAATTAAAGTAGGGAAAAGGAAAATAGTTTGTATTGAATGGTATATTTTTGGGAGAATTGCTATTAACCCCTTATCTTCCAATAAAACAGCATTTGTATTAGCAATATAGTTCCTTCTTCACTTACATATTAATTATTTTCAGATGAGTCATAGAAATTTTCAACTTTATCTTTTAATAATCTCATGATGAAGGATAGGAAGTCTGAGTTAGCACAAATCCCTGTCTAGTCAGTTAACATTATTCTAATAATCACTAATAAATTTATTTAATAAAATAAATAAATGATTCATTAATTTTAATTGATGATTAGAAACAATTCATTAATTCCATCATTTTAATTTGTATTTTATTGTTCTTGTGTGAAAATGATAAAGTTAATATTTACAACCAATTGTTTTTGTATTTTTCAGTTACAATTTGCATTGTGGTTGCTTTGTATATTATATAACATTTTTATATTCTACTTACTTTTGACTAATATTGTTGCAATAAACTAATTCAATTTTATTGAAAATTTCAGAAGAAAGCGAAGGATGACAAACAGTCTGCAGAGGAAGAACGAACATATATGGAGCTAGAGCCTCAGGAACATGTTTATGAAGCTCTTGATGAATATTTAATTGATTATCGTGATATGATCCCATTAACTGACACATTCAAAAGAAAAGATAAAAAAGAAAGAACTGATAGTCGGCGCACACAGTGGCATGAAACAGAAGAGGTTGTTGAAAGTGGTTTGCTTGGTATGTGTGAAACATTAATAGCAATGAGGAAAGATACTCACTCCAGTCTTTCCTCTTAGTTAATAGTCATTAATGTACAAGGGAATGAAATAATCTTTTTTTAACAAGTTCAAACAGCACAACTGTTAAATCAAATTCACAGTTGTGAATGAAACCTTTTTTTATACAGTTAAAGAGCACTGTTAACCATAAATTTTATGATTCCTAATTACCTAGTCAGAGGCTTTGAAGGCAACTTTGTCTTTCTAAGGAGTGAAAATTATATTAACTCTATAGGAAGTTAAAATAACTTTAATTCCAAAAAAGTTATAATAAAAGAATGAGCTTCATAATTAAACAAGAACATCTTGACTACATTATGAACAGTAAAAGAATTAATCATTCCAGACTCTAATTTCAATACTTTATCCAGTTGAAAGTTCTGCAGGAGTACTAAATTTACTAGCAAAAGCTATACATTGCAATTTACTAAGAAGCCACATTACCTATTATTGCTTTTATAAAAATACAATATTTATATGAATATGAAAGAAAATCTGAAATGAATAATTTGAATTTAAGCTAACATGCTTAGAACTTAACATTTCTTCTCTACAGATAAAACTACATTTTAATCCTTTCTAGTATAAATACCATTCATTCACTTGATGAGACATTATTTACTCATCTTTTCAATTCATTGCCATTAGCAAAGGGTTCCACAGGGATCGATTTTCAGTCCTATTCTCTTCTGACTACATAGAAATAATATTCCTTTAGCTATTCAAAATGGAAGAACATTTATATAATTTTTGCAGATTATATAAATATTCTTTGCAATAAAGAAACAGTAAATAGTGCAATGTATCAGATGTTTCAAACTGGTTTCATAATAACAAATTAATAGTAAATGAAAATAAAATGGTTTCAATACAGTTTTCCAGGTGAAGTAAACGATTCTATTCACATTCAATACAATTCCATTGAAAAAGAATAATGTGTCATTGACTGATGTTAAGGTAACAAAATTTTGGGGTCTCACTACAGCCAAACCTCAAATTGAACAAATTTAAGTGAATTGAATACAAAATTAAGTTCATTGTGCTATGAGTTCAGAATTCTTTCAAATTCGGTCCGCCTTCATACTGCTTGTTATTTCATGAATGTTCCTTCCTGCCTGAGATATGGCATATCATTCTAAAACAACATATCCTGTATCTCACAGACTTGTAGATTACAAAAAAGAATTGTATGAATATTTAGCAAATCCTATCCATAAGATTCTTGTAAGCCTCTCTTCATTAAACTAGAAATTCTGTCATTGTCTTGCCTCTTGATTCACAATTTTTTTTTTTTTCTTTCTTTCAAAAATGACTTACTCAAGGGGTAGAAACATATTTCCAAGTAATATAGATGCTTATAACTATAACACTCATTGTAGTAATCATATTCCTCAAATATTGTATTATCATATTCAAAAAATATTCAGCATCAACAGCTTACTACAAAAAGTTCACATACAATACATTTACATTATTTTATAACATATTGCCAGATGACATCAAATGATTAAAATCTATTCACAAGTTTAAGTGCCAATTAAAATCTTTTCTGCTGTATAACTGTTTCTTTACTGAGCATCAAAAAGGAAAGTAAAATTGAGTTAAACAATTATATTTAATGAATCATTTGAACTTGGAATTTTAAAATATTAAATATGCCTGTAACAAGTATTGTACCTCAGCTTCTGGGTCAACAACCCCTATCTTGATCAGGTTTTTCAACCAGTTTCCCAGATCTTTTAAGCAAATGCATTGATTGCTCTTTGTTTTGTTTCTGGTCATAAATGTAACTTCACTATCTGTGCAGGTTTCCTAGAGCTCAGTGTGTAATAAAGTTATTCAAATTAGCATTCTCTATTTTCTCATGGCAGTAAGTTGAAGGGCATGATGGAGCTTAACAGCCAAAATCTGTAGCTTTTTTCTTTGCAAATAGTTTTTATTACATAGGATTCTTAACAATTTTTTGCTAAAAATGCTGGTTTCCACCTGTATTCACAATTCTTCTTGTACATATATTAGGATAGAATTCCTGGAATAAAGAAGAATGTATACAGAATACACTTCTCCCCATAGTATGTCATACAGAGTTTTAAACTTTTTTAAACTTTAAATGAATAAATAAAACATTAATAAAATATATCTTAAAAATATTCCTGTTGCCAAAACAATTAAATAAATTATGGGTTGCAAAGCTATAATGAATAAAAATGGTCATTAACATGGAGAAAGCTTCTGTAAATTGTTTAAAGTGTACCATTTCTTTACAGATGGAATGACTGCTGAACAAAAGAAATTACAAGAAGCAAAATTTGAAATAATAACATCTGAAGTTTCTTTTCTGAAATCTTTAAACATTCTAGAAAAATATTTCATAAATAACAGTGAAATTAATAGCAAAGATGTTTTGAGTGAAGAGGACCGTAGAACTCTTTTCATGCCCATTGTTCCAGGTAACAGCACAGTATAAATTGTTTTATTATCCTATTACGTGTAATGTGACTTTTGAAAGGGACAAAATTCTTACATTGATGTTGATAGCAATTATGATTCTCATATGATTTTCAAATATTTATTATACTGATAATAAATTATAATGATAATTTATTATAATGATATAAATATTTACATTAATCAATATCTATACAAGAAATATCAATAATTTTGAAACTATTTAAGTTTCAATTTACTCACAAATCAAAATCAATTTTATTTCATCATTAAAAGCTGTTGTAGTACATCTAATCACAACATTATTGTATGAATGTAGACACTAATTTCCTTAATTAAAAATTTATTGCAGTGAAAGAAACCTCCCAGTGCTTTTTGCAAGACCTAGTCAAAGTTTGGGAAGATGACATATGTCTCAAAAATTTAGATCTAGCTGAAGTATTGCTTAAATATGCCAAAGGAAGATTTCGTGTGTACATTGCATATTGTTCCCGTCAAGTGGATATAAATGAAGTGTTATCTCAGATGAGGTTTGTTGTTTATTATCATAATGCAAAAAGTTGAACAATTTTAACAATTACATATTTTATTACCTAACAATATTCAATTTCAGAGAAAAGAATAAAAGGTTCATAGAAGTAATGGAAAAGATTGAAGCAAAATCTGTCTGTCAAGCATTCACCCTTCAGTCTTTTTTAACTCAACCAATGCAAAGGATAACAAGATTTCCTATGCTTGTCAATGCAATTATAAGGTATCTGCCTAAAGGAGATGAAAGTATTGCTTTGTGGGAAAAGGTTCATTTGACACTTCAAGCGGTGAGTTCAATTCATTATATTAGATTTCAGAGTGTAGAACTGAATAGCACACTACACCTACACTCAACATGTGCAGTCTGTTTACGCAGGCAAATTCTAATATGGCCTGCCAACATGAAATATCTAGATTTCGAATCACATTAGCACTGTAGCATGTATGTTTGATCATCAAGAAAACAAGCAGAGAGATTATTGATAATTATTTATAAAGTATTTATTGTTTTATTTGGAACTTAATATGTGTATGTTAGCCATAACCATATTATTATTTATAAAGGGAGTGAATATACCCCATTTTCTTAAATTGATAATATAGATAAATGACAAATTTTGGACAATTTTTCACCTATTCGTATATGAGTACATTTGGACATTATGCTGATGCAAAAAATGTCAAAAGGTTATTCTACAAGGGATTCTACTATTACATCCCACAAATTTCTTAAAGAAAAATGATTGTACTCTTTTAGAATGTTAATTTCTTCTTGAAATGTTTTCACTTTGGTTTAATGGGAATATTCATTTGGAATATGATGCAATCAACGATTGTTTTGAATAAATTTAATAGAATTACAAACAAATAAAAAATTGAATGGAGGAGAATTCATAAAGTAGTAATAACATTCTTCGTTATTCTAACTAATGCCCACATCGAAGGAAACATATTATATTAGTGGAGTAGTTACATCTCAGCACCTCACATCTTTATGGTGGCAAGGCAAATAATTTGATTTATCATTTGCCCATTATGAACAGTTAAAGTGATAAGGTGAAAGGAAGCAAAATATTAATTAATAGTAAACCCTGACTCATTTCTTGTCATCAATTACCCAGAAAGAAGGTATCAACACAGAGGGAAGTGTGTATATCTTTCCTCTGTAGTATTTGGCATCATTCCAGTTGAGAGGGGTTTTTGAGTCCCTATTGTGATAAATTCAACTGCCCATGATGAAATTAATATTTCAGGAAACCATTAACAGAGATTTTAGAGATCTTCTGTTAGCACAAAAATATAATGTTTTAAGATATACATAAGAATCTAGAGTACCAAATGCGAAATAACACATTTAAAGAGAGGAATAGAAGTATCAGATCTTCAAAATCCCATTAGTGCAATGAATAATTAAATTTTTTATGAAAAAAAGAACATATAAGAGCTACCAAAATGTAATGTACCTTCTAATATAAAAATTGCATTTTAAAGAGCTTTATTCAGACAGTTTAATAATAATTTCCTATTTATTAAATTTCACTTCTGAGTAATTTAGCTACTTGAATAATTTTTGTTATTGTTGTTGTTGTTATTGTTATTTTTGTTATTATTATTATTATTATTATTATTATTATTATTATTATTATTATTATTATTAATGTGTTAATGTGTTATGAAGAACATTTCCAATTTTTCCTTTCTTTTCTCTATGTGTAAAAAGAGTGTCACTCATTTTTCTGCTCATAAATCTAAATAATATTACATTGGGTCTCCTAAATATCAATTAATGATTAATATTAGAATTTTAAGTAAATCTGAAATGAATGCAATATCGATGGAAAAATAACTTTTACAAAGGTATTATTTACTGAGGTCACAGCAAAATAAGTATAATTCATTTACAAAAACTAATTTAAGAAGTAAGTTCTCTTAAAAATATAATATTACAAAATCTTTCTATTGAAACTTACAAATTGCTAATATGTATGAGAAAAACATTCACCATAATATGAAATTTGACTTCTCAATTTTTTTGGCCAGGTTGTCACAGAATGCAACGAAGCAGTAAGAAGTGCAGAAATTACACTTGCCCATAAGAAAGAAGATAAGAAGAAAGCATTTTGGACAAAATGGGTTAATAAATAACCTGAAAATCTTACTTACAGAATGAAATATTTATCAAGAAATTTCAATTTTCCTGGTCCTGTTTTTAATGTGGGTCAGTACCACAGTTGGTGTTTAAATAGTAAAGAATATAAGCAAATACTAAATTGGAAACTCCTTCAAAATTTCTACAGAAATTTGTTTTGTAAAATATATTTTAATTCTTTTAACATATTATAAAAATTCATTCAGAAGATACAATGACTTGATAGACAATATTATGGGTTCATATTTAAAATCCTCCATTTTTTTGCAGAAAAATGAGAAAGATTTGTTGTCAGAATTATTATCTTATAACAAATAATCTGATGTAGAAATGTACAACTGCAGTACTTCATATATGCCTGACAAGTTAATAGTTAATAGTTTAAAATTTGTCCTTAGCTGTCTACACAAAAGATTTTTCTTATGATTTTTCTGTAATTTGTTCATTACAAAAAGAGCTATTATTGTTTCAAATACATTTTATTTCTGTTCTATTTTTAAAATATATTTGAAGAAATACATTATCTTTACCTATCATCTAATTAAATATATAACAAAGAAATTAAATTTGTACAAAGACTTAAGCTGTATATAAAGAAATTCTAAAGGTTTTTGTATATTTTGTATTTAAATGCTTAAATGTAAGAATATGAAATACTTTATTGTTTCTTTCTTTAGTGTTAATTGCTTATATGTTGTGCAATATACTTGTATTATTTTCATACCAGTGAACAGAAGTTGTAATATCTCCTGAGAGAGGAGTACTATTAAACAAACATTCCAACTTCTATACTACTGCTGGTTAACATTAACTGACATGTAATTAATATCTTTTAGTTACCATACAAGGAAATACTATCATTTACAAGGAAATATTACCAAAGAAAACACCAAATAGGAGGGCAAATATTTTCAAATATTCGCCCCAATAAGAAAGAGTTATGTATGGTGCAATTCAGTATGTATGATCTCAGTCAGTAAAACATATTTGTAGTTTTAAGAAGTTATACTTTTGTAATTAAAAATATCTTATTGACTTATCATTTTATTATTTCTTCATTATAAATTCCTTTCCTGGTCATATTTCATTAGGTGCCAGAAAAGTCTCAGTGTGAAGAAATATCCAATTTCTACAAAGCTGAGTACACTGCAACCCAGAAATAATCCAGCGGTGCCTCCTACTGCAACTAAACAAAATGTTATCAATAGCATAAACTGCAACAAACTTTACCTACATGATCATAACACAAACGTAATGTCAAAATCCAAATGTAATATCAAATAGTACAAATGAAATGTCTAAAATAATATTGGGCCTTACAATAAAATAACAACAACCAGCAAAATTAATGTATTGACAAACAGAAAACAACTGCCAATACTTTATAATTCAATATTCAATTCAGAATAGAACAAAAACAATTGTCAGGAGTTCACTCTCTTTGAAATTCCTATTACTAATAAACCGGCAACAATTAATAAATACCCAGTGGGAAACTCAACTTACATCTACAAAAAAACAAACACAACTTTAAATTCAGCATAAATGACAATTTCTTAATAGGGAAATGTTAAGCCAACACTACATCTAAAGCCCCTCTTTCTCCTAAAAAATTAATTATCCTCAATTAAGTCAAAAAATATGTAAAATATTGAAGCGTTTACAATAAAAGTGAAAAGAATGAATGAACCTAGGACAGGATATTTAAATTGTAGTTGTAAATCAACAAACAAAGAAATGTTGTAGATGTAACTCTGAGAGTAGTAAAATAGTGAATCAATATTTTATCCAAATTGGAACCTGTATTATGTGATTTCGATGTAAAAGAAGAAGAAAAAAGCCAATCTCAGACCGAAGGATCGTGGGTTCAAGTCCCGCTTCGGGCAAGGTGTATTGTGTTAGTCCTTTCACCCACTATCATCATCATATCGTGTCATCCTCATAGTAACCAAACCGTTACAAGCAATAGTGGTCACTAATGACCTAGATATTGATGCGACCATAAATAACAAAAATGTTTTTAAAAAAGTAGAATTAAAAACGTAAATGGACTTAAACAATTTACAGTAAAACCTGTTTAAGATGGAACCTGATAGTTCTTTTCACAAAATTTCTGTCTTGGTAGGTTTCTGAATTATAAAGGCTTGCCAAAAGTTCACCATATATCTTAAGTACAGTATTTTGTATATAATTTTTTTAGTGAAACAGAATAATGAAAATGAAACAAATTTACCAATAAAAATATTGCTGGAAATGAAAAGAACCAGCAGTAAAACACAGGAAAAATATAGGAAAAGCATTTATTTTGCGTTTTACATATAAATTTAGCACATATTCAATATTTACACAATTAAACCTTATTTAATCCCCATAGTTGCAGCATGGTAAGCTGTCAAGTTTTATTGACGACATTGGCCAGTATATGATTTTTCACCCCCTGTAGCATTTCCATCAACTCAGAGTTGATTTGAGAAACAGCAAATTGTGTAGGTCATTTATATGCAATAATGTACATTTGACGCTTGATATTTTCAGCTCTCAGAGAATGTCTTTTTCACACACAGCTATTCTACACTACACAATGAAACAAGGAACATTTTGAGATTATTTGCATAGAGAAGGAGATAACTGAAGGCAAATTTTGTTGGTGGTAGAAGGAAGAAGGGAAAGTAGAAGATGAAAGATGATTGTGTTAGGGAGTAGATGCATGAATTGAGAAATTAATATTTAAAAATTTATTATTTTGATTTGACAAAAGTGATCCAAGAATATTCCATGGAGATAGCAGTTCAGAAAACAAAAGTTATGGCAATACAAGGCAATAAACAATGAGAGCAAAAATGGAATGGAAAAATGGAAAATTAGAGTAACAAGTAAATAAATTTTCATATCATGGAAATATCATAAGTGTATACAACCAAACTCAGGAAGACATAGAAAACAATAACTCCAATATAACATGTGAAACAATTAAGACACTTCGGCAGACTCATGGACCTGGAAACAAAACTGACATCGTGAGTTCTTGTAGGGCAAGCTTCTATCACCTCACTCTCATAAATTCTCTTTGTGCAAGTAAGTTTGCCTATTTCATATAAAGAATTTCATTGAAAATTAATGAGGGAAATAGAGCTAATCATGAGACATTTAAATGTACAATATTAATAACTTTCAATATATATCAGATAAAGGGATGATGAGGTACAATCCTTTACGCCATTATCAGCACAATTAACTGAGAATTACTGTTGTCACTTAAGCACAGTAAAAGTCACAGTAAGCACCGAGTGGTGATAACTGTAGTCTATAATGTAAGAGATTGAATTATATACCGTTTTAAATCTTGAAATTTGTTCTTACCTAATAAATCAGTGAATCCAAAAATTACATCTCTTTTTAGTCTTGTTTGAGGAAATGTTACCATTCCCCATTGTATTGCAGCAACTGAGGTCCTGCACATACAATTATTCTTTTTATCACACAAACAGTAACATTGTGTAAATGGACAATATCAATTTATCATACTAAATATAAGATATTTGGTTTTGCTAAGTTTAAGCAATGAGAAGAAAATGAGGACAGATGTAACAAAGAAAACCTGGAATTATCAGCGGCAGATCGAGCCAATCATTGGGGGGAGGGGGGGGGACATTATAGATTTTTGTTAAATAATAAACATGTTTATTACTATATTTTGCATATTATTTTTGTAGTGTGTGTATATGTTATTATACAATATTATTTTTAAATAATTACATATTTTTAACATAAATATTTAGATTTTAAGATAAATAAATTAAATTAAAATTTTGCCACATAAGGAAGTTAATAAATTAAAACTCTAGAACTTGGGGGGGGGCGGCAATTGCCCCCCCCCCCTGGATCTGCCATAGTGGTAATTCATCATATGCTCATTACAAATCGTTGAACAAAGGTGCGAAAATAGTTATTTTAAAACTAATATATCAACACAAATTCGACAATTAAAATTGCGTTTCATGCAGTTATAACGTCTCCCAACGACGAGAAGGAATCTCAGAATTTCCAATGCTTCGCGTTACGCTGTGCAGCGTTGTCGTATTCCAATTTGAATCCCGGGACTATCTCTGATAGGATAATAACACAGGTTTTGCCGTCAATCGATTTTTCGGAGTGAAGGACCCACATGGATTTTGACTACACAACGCGTTAGAGGAAGTAATTTAATACGTATTGCAACAAGATTTATCAGCTTTTTCGTTACCAGAGCCCGGCATAAGATTTCCCCCCGCAGGAATACAATACTTTCTGTTAACTGTGTAAGCACTAAATGAAACAGTTAAACCTACATTAGTAATTTACAATATATGTTAATATGCTATTACAAAAAAAACACAAGAAACTAGATCTAATTTAAAGAATCTCAATTAAGAGCCATCACATTAATTACAAACAATATCGTTTTAAATAATTTTATTCAATTACAAAATCGTTAAAATATAATTTTCGCCATTTACCGTAGGAAAAGAAAGTCTTTCTGTACGTCAAAGACTGTGAAACACGCATGTATTGTGTAGAAAGGAGTTGAAATGATTTATTTACATTTACATTTTCATGAAGAACAATATAGAAAAACCTTTTTACTTTCTCGTATACATGCGGATGTATGGGATAATTGTACGTAGTGTAGAGAAAGTTATGTAATGCTGCGAAGAAAAAAACAGTGATTTTTTTTACAGAAAAACTCACTATTGTGGATCCCTCACACAGAAAAAGTGGATAAATTCTTTCTAATATGTGGTACATTACTCCCTCAAGCATGTCATGTAGTCAAATTTCACGAATAAAGAGTCCTTCAGTCCGAAATAGTTACTTTCATATTAAATGTGTAAAGCTCCCTCCGACTAAACCTACGGTCTTGGCAAAAAAAAATCTCAATCTCGGCTGTGAAAGAAACGGAAATTTCACATACGAAATATGAACAACAATTTTGCTACAACTGATTAAAAATATAATACAAAAGAATTTGTAAACTTGTATTGAAAAAAGAAGCCTGATACCCCGGACAGTGTAGAAATGCATTTCATAGGGCAATGATTGGAGAAGTAGGTACTCTAAAATCATACAAAAAGGTTTTTTTTTTTTTCAGGGTAACAAGATAGTTGTCTCGACAACAATTGTTTTTAATGAATATTAAAAAATTACGAACTTTAGATACGGCTAGCAATGCACAGAAGTTGCGTTTTTTATGCACTTGTAGAAAAAAGTTATTTTTTAAAAACGCCGACCCATCCGTTCATCAGTCCGTCCGTCTGTCGTCTATGAACAATTTTAGTACCTAAACTATGAGTAGAATTGTTTCCAAACTGAATACTCCTCTGTGGATCTGGTCTAACTCGAAGCTCTGCATTTTTGAATAACATTCATCAATTTTTGGAGGTACTTTTAACGCAGCACCTGCGACATTTTCAAAATTTTCCTTCAAATTTCTTGTAAGAATAGGGTGAAATACACTTATAAGGATGGTGTAGAACCAATTTTCATTGTCAACTCTGAATTTTTGAAAATTGAAAAAGTTTTGATTTTTTTTCGGAGACTTCCTACAACTACATAATTGATGATAGAAATGTTTCCTTCAAATGAAATTTGTTCTCATTTATTAGTATACCATTAAAGGAATATGCATTTGGATATTTCTTTAATGGTATTGAATTATATTATTTGGTAATGGAATTGATTGGATGTGTAGGATTTTTTTCAAAATCGAAGAAACCCCTGTCTTTTTGGCCCGAGTCGAAGCTCTGCGATTTCGAAAATCTTTCATTAGTTTTTGGGGATATTTTACACGAAGCCCCTGGGACATTTTCAAAATTTTCTCAAAAGTGGCTCCTAATATTTTCTCTAAATTTCTTGTTATAACAAAGTAAAGTACACTTATAAAGGTGGCATAGGTTCAATTTTCACTGTTAACTCTTAATTTTCGAAAATTTCAAAAGTTTGAATTTTTTGAGGTCTTCCTACGACTACAAAACTAAATATACACATTTTTCCTTAAAATAA